CTAAGTTTGTCTTTAGGGATCCCTTTAAAATTCCAGAGGGCAGGGCCTGGGCTGTCTTGTTCGGTGTTATTCAGTTCCTAAATAGTGTCAGACATACAGCTGATGTGCAATAAATGTGTTTTGAATTTTTAAAAAATGACAGAGCAGCTACATACTTGAGAGGTGAGGCAGGACTGTAAGTTCATGGGCAGCCTGGGTAACTTAGCTAGATCTTGTTTCAAAATAAAATTTTTAAAAGGCTGATGATGCAACTTAGTGATAGAGCACTTGCATAGTGTGCATGAGGCTTTTTGTTCAATCTCTAGCACCACAACACAAAACAAAACAAACAAAAAAAAAAACCAGGACCCAATGGTATGTGATAAATGTAGACCAATGGGCTCTAGGAGTAAAAGAAAAAGCATTTTCTAATTTTTCAGACGTAAATATGCCCGCTCTGGCCAATGTCAAGCTGGCAGCCTGACCTCATCCAACACAGAACTGGAAAGAGACTCAGTTTCCCCTTGTGAGCCAAGAGCCAGCCACAGCACACTGCTGATTCTGGCCAAGCCAGGATCCCAGCAATGTGGGACCAGCATGACTGTCTTAAATCATATTAAACTGTATGAAATAATTCATCCTCTACAGCCAACAATGAGCACTTTGCTATCCCTTGGAAACGCCCAACTTTCAAACAAATCATTTTTCCCATTTTTCTGCTTAAAGAGTCTTGGGAAAAACTGGCTGTCTCTTGGAGTTTCAGAAATGCTGAGTAATTCTCTTTGTTGTATAAGCAATGCCCACCATGCAGGCTGTGCTCTGGATATTTCTTCAGAACCTAATATCGCCTTCCACATAATAAAAGTAACCCTGGGGCTGGTTAGGTTGCGGGACAGCCAACAGAAGCCCCTAACTCCCACCACTCTCTTGCAGTCTAATACCAGTGCAAGAGTATTATTTTCAGAAGAGCAACCTCCATTTCAGCCAGGGAAGACAAGATTGTGTGCCACCTGGCCGCAGTCCCGACCATGAAAAAGCACACCCTTCCACCTCACCACCTGCCATCTGCCAGGAGACTGAAGACTTGCAGCTGCCCTGTGCAGACTCCAGCTCTAAGCCACTCCTGCCCTGCTCTTACACCCAGAAAAGGGCTAAAGGATAGGGGATTCCCCGGGCAGTGGTCAAGATGGTGCCGGAGATGCCAGTAGCTGTAGTAGTACTGGTAGTAGTACTAGTGGTACTCAACTAGTAACATTGTTCTTATAGGGTTTCACAGCTTTTCTAATTTAACCCTTGCAGTGCCTCTATGAGATATGTGAGATTATTATCGCCATTTACAGCCAAGAAAGCCAAAGTTTAGACAGGTCAAATCATCTGTTGAAATCACACAGCTAGGAAGTGGGGGAGCCCTCTTGGGAAGGGCCTTCAACTCCCTCACATAAATTGTGTAAATAGGCACATCTGATGTTATCCTTCATATAAATAATTTAGAAGCCCAAATTCCTAAATTTTGTTCTGGGCTTCAATTCAGTTTATAATACGATGTTCTCAGGGCCAAGATTTTGCTCAGTGTTGCCACGCCTGCCTTGCAAGCTCAAGTCCAGAGTTTAATCCCTAGTACCGCCAAAAAAAAAACCAAAACAGAATATAATATGTTGTTCTGCAATACAGAAGTAGCCTAAAAACCAATCAAAAGGGGGAAAGGGGATTAAAAACAGGTGAAAACCAAGCAAGGCCTAGGGCTAAGCTAATAGCATCGCATCAAGCCTCCCAATGCTGTAGTTATGTAAGATGTCAGCATTGAGAGAGCCTCGGGAAGGGTAGATGGAGCTCTCTGAACTATTTCACAACTTTTTATGTGTCTCAAAGTCAGAATTGAACAGGCAAGATTGTAATGATATACCTGAAAGGGGAGCCACCTTTGTCTCAAGCTTGTCCTGCTCTCCTTTGCACTGTGGCCACTCCCTTCATATTCCCTACACTTTCGTGTGTTGTAAAATAGAGTTAAATTAGTGTTTTTAAATGTTTTCAGGCCTGGGAATCTAGATCAGTTGTAGGGTGCTTGCCCAGGGTTCAATCCCCAGCACCACCAGCAAAAAAATTATTATTTCGGTTTTTCAGGCCTGGGGAGAATGAGACATACCTTCTGAATAGCTCTGGCGCTTCCTGAGATGTTGAATGTTACCACTGGACAAAGACTGAGGTGGGACTGTCAAGACTCTGTTTCACAGAGCTGTGTGGCCTGAAAAATCCTGGTTGCAAAGTTAAAAACATGCTGCTGAGCCGTACCTCACACAAAGATGAATGTGGCATCACTCACTATTAGGCTGTGTACTGTCACATTTAAAAAATGAATTGAGGGCTGGGGATTGAGCTCAGTGGTTCCGGCACCTGCCTCAAAAGTGCAAGGTCCCTTGGGCCGGGGATTTAGCTCAGTGGTTTCACTGCCTGCTGCACAAGCACAAGGACATGAGTTCGATCCCTGGTACCAAAAAATAAAAAAATAAAAAATGAAATGAGACAAAAAAACCTCTAAAAATGCTGCTCACCAACAAAACAACTTGGTGAAAATGAAATGTTTAGGCTCCAAACTTTATGTCTCCTTTATAATTTACCCAAGATGTTACACATACAATAAATACCTTTCCTTCTTCCCACATTGCCACATAGAACCAAGAATTTGTTTTTAAAAGATGCAGCACAAAATCTGAAATGCAGGATCCCCTGCCCCCGCCAAAATAACTTTCATAGGAAATCAACCGGCACAACCTATAGACATAAGCAATAGAGTCTATTTAGTCACAGTATTTTCCTTAACAGCAAACAGTACAAACTTGGCACCGCTTGAAGAGCTTTGTGTATATTATTAGTTCATTCAGTCCTCAAGACATTCCCAGTGAGGCAGGTATGTTCTTCCCATTGTATCCATGAGGAAACCAAGGTGGAGCAGGCAGGTGTTTTGTCCAAGGTCATCCAGTTATTAATGGCCAGTGATAAGTCTGAGATTTGATGTGATAAGGTTTGGTTCCAGAGGCCACTCTACTATTCCACTACTTTACCTCACTATGGATTTTCTCAGAAAAACTGCCCTTTTATATTTTTCCCCTCTATATATTTTTTTCTGGCACTGGGAATCAAACCAGGGCCTCGTGCATGTGGGACAAGTGCTCTACCACTGAGCACTTCGCTCCTTTTACATAGCAACCAAGCTGAAGCATCTCTGACTTGTCCCTGGCACAAATGGAAAACAGAGAGGAGATGAGCTACTGTCTCTTCCACCGCTCAAGTCTCCCACTTTGCCCCACCTACCCACCCACTATCCCTGAGCTATAACTCCATGGTTGACAGGCGGAATCACATGATGACCTGATGCCATAGCCCAAGCTCTTTATGCTAGTGATCCAGAAATAGGGTGACCAAATGTTCCAATTTACTGATGGTTTTATCACTAAGAGTTTCCCACTCAGCCAGGATGGTTGGTCACTCTGTACTTCAGAACCATCCAGGGAGTGGTAATAAATTGTGGTAGCTGACACAGCCCTGGACTTTCAACCCAAGCAGCGGAAGAAAAACAGTTGACTCCACTAGGTGGCATCTGGACACTTAAACAGGATTTGCAGGGGAGGTGGAGATTCAGGGCACATTACATGTCCTAGACATGTGAGAGGGCGCTGAGCAGGCCAGGTTGTTCTTTTGGTGGCAAAAGCCATGTGGATTTGTGGGGACAGAAACAACCAGCCACTGGGGAAGATGTGAGCAGAGGCCTCACGCTCTCCTCAGCCTGGCTCTGTATACAGACAAAATTAGAGGTCTTCTGTGTCAGGGTTCTTGCAGGGTCTGCAGCACAGAGAGCAGAGCTGCTTATTAGGGGCTGACTCCCTAAGGGTAAATCAGTGAAGCGGACCAGACCCAGCCTGTCCTCCCCCCTTTAAGAAAGGCTGCTTCTCCTTTCTCCCTTGCTTTCCCCACACACCAGCCTGGGCCAGTCAAAGGACACTTGCACAAAAGACTCCAAACCAGGCCCCTCCTAGCTGTGACTCGGGACCTCCCCGCCAGACCACTGTCCCCTCCACAGGGCTCTCTCCCTTTTCTCATTCCTGTTGCCAGCATCTGGCCTTGCTGTGCTGACCTCCAGGCAGAGCCAGGCTCACCTTCCCAGGTGATCACATGTCTTTGGTCAACCTGAAGGGTCGCACCCTTTCCTGATTGTGCACAGGACATACAGCAAGTCCCCAAAACCGTGGATCCAAAACCACTGAAGAGTAGCACCCTTACCAGTGGTTTTCAGACTCTCCAACTCCAGCAGGAACCGGGGGTCAGCTTAGGTCTGAGAACCAGGGCTCTCCAGGTTCCATTTCCCTGTCACCAGGTCGCTCAGATTGCCAGCCATGCCTCTGTGAGAGAGGTTCAAACGAAGGACCTGAGCCAACTGACCCTGCGGCGTGAGTCCCACATCTGTTTACAAAGATGTTCGAGGGACTCCATGGGGAACCAAGAGGTGGAGGGAGGGGAAATGAAAAGAATTAAGATGTGTTATGTGCATGTACCAATTCCCCACGAGGAATGTGGTCATTATGTACTGCAAACATGTACTAATAAAAATTGAAAATTAAAAAAGGGGGAAAAAAAGAAAAAGAATAAAAGGAAAGTGAAAAACAAAAACAAAAACCAGTCTTCAGGCAGTGCAGTAAAGCAGCAGACTCCGAAGCTAAGGATCCAAGCACGCTTTGGGCCGCACAATCCAGTCCAGCCAAGTGGCTGAGATCTTCCTGTCCCGCAGCCGACGCCACTCACACTGACTACGCTCTTTAGGCCTTTCCACCGGACACCCTCAGAATTACACAAGTTCTTCTGTTAGCAGTTTACTGTGTGCTACTAAGCCTCACCACTGGATCAGAAGTAGTGAGCTACGTGTTAGAGAAGACTTGGCAAAGGCACCCAGATCCTTCTCTCAGCCAGCGTTGAGGAGCAGCCCCAGGCGGCGGTCACGTGACCACGCCGCCAGACGGGGGCGGAGTCGAGCGGCCTGGACGCTGTTTGGTCGCCTAGCAACGGCCTGGGCGCTGAGCTATGGAGGCGGTGGAGAGCAGGGAGCTTCAAGCCAGGAATTATCTGGAAAAACATCGGATCATGGAGCTGCTGAACCACCTCACCAGCGTCCTCCTCTTTATTCGGCCCCGTAAGTGTCTTTCCTGTTAATTGGCTTTGTCCCCAAAAGTTCCCCAGGACGCCCCTCCTCCACACGCACTGTTTCTGCAGCCCAGGCTGCCTGAACCGTGCGGCAGCTCCGCTACCCGGTGGCTGACAAGGAAGCCAGCACAGTGGAGCGACCCCTCTGTGCCAGCGGCTGACCGGTTGCGGCCAGCTCAGGCTGGGGTGAGGGGCTGGGGCTGAGAGAGTGGCTCCGAGGCTGGCAGCCTGGCTCTTGACCACCCCTTTAGTACTGCAGGGCTTTGGGCAAAACTGAACTTCATCCCCTCGTCTGGGAAGTGGGGACAATCATAATAAGTGTTATGCCCATGCTCTCCGCGATCAATGTAATCATTGTGTGCTGCAAAAACTAAAAACAAATAGTAGCCATCTTCTAGGAATGTGGGGAAGATTAAGCAATATATAAATGAGCCTTGTGCCTGCCAAGCAACAGGTGTTTCCAATGCAAACCTTGCTCAGAGTTTTTAATGTAGTAAGGAAACTAAACAATTGATAGGGTGAGCTAGAAGGATGTTCTTGAAAAGCTTTTTCTGACATTTTTATACAAATCCCTTACAAGGTTTGAATCATTTCATACTTTTTGTTTGGTGTAGAATCAAGAAGTTATGTTAAGCTAGGTGTGCTGGTGCACAGCTGTAATCACACCACTCTAGGAGGCTGAAGCAGGAAGATTGGAAGGTCCAGCCCAGCCTGGGCTACTTAACAACTTAATGATAACTTGACTCAAAGAATTTTTTTAAAAATTTGTTTTAAAACGGCACGGTGAGGTCGCAGAGGCGTCTTGCAGCCCCACCCCCACCCGACGCTCTCTAAGAGCTGTGGCGGGTGAGACAAGACCAGCAGCTTGAAGCTCCTGCGGCCTTCCCGGGCCGCCTCCAACGCTCAGTCCCGTCCCGTCCCCCCCCC